AAAAAAAAACAAAATGTCAATTAATATTTATGTGTACACGATCGCCAAACTTATACTAACATAGAGAAGTAAATGCGATACCTATCAAACTCGAGACGTTGCCCCTGTCTCGCGATTTCCCATATTTGCCCCAATCCCCCGACATCATTCGCTGCTGTGCCAATAATTAAAAATATGGCAACGAACATAAGAAAAATTTGAAATATGTCAGTTGTTAACACAGCTTTAATGCCACCTATACTGGAATAGAAGGCACACACGAGACCAATAATAATGATGCTGGCAATCATTGAGATTCCTGTAGTCGCCTCTAAGGCTAGAGAAGGAGCGTAAAGTACCACTCCTGAGAACAATAGTAGTTGAATCCAGTAAAGAAAACTAATCATTACCCTAGCTCTTACTCCGAAACGTTTTTCCAAGTACTAAAAGAATGAATATTCCTTCCAATATAAGTATCATCGACAATATTTCGCAGCAAATATAAATTTCACTAAACTCACCTCGTAGATGCTTATCGCCTGCAGCTTGTAAAATACTGGCAGGAATCCATAACATACAATCCAAGTGCCCAACAGATACGGTAGGTTTATTACAGCAATTTGCGTCCCGTATGTGTAATTCTCAGCGGATATACCGAGCAGTCCAACTGCAGATATAGAGGATGCTACCATAGCGATAGCAACTGGCACGCTGCTCATTGATCGATTTGCAATAAAATATTCCTGTGAAACACTTTATATTTTATTATATCAAAGCATTAAAAAAGAAAAAGCAACAAAATAATGTTGTTTTAAGTGACTGTCTTTAACAAGAAGTATCTTTAACAATATATAGTAAACACCTGTATAGTTTTTTGACGTCCTCCACTAAATCTGTAATAAATACCAATTCCTGTACTTATGCACAGCATCATCGCTATTATCAGATAGTCGATCCATCTTAAGGTATTTATTTCTGTCATTTTTGTCTGAAACATTAAATCAATATAATTATGTTGTGTAAAAGAAAGAAAATATTTTTAAATAAATAAATAAATAATAAGTAAATAAATTGTGTCTAATTATTAAACATAATAATAAATATTTTAAATAATAAGATAGGCAATGCTAATTAATTTTACGTTCTTTATTGTCTGTGTACAATAATATTATTTTATTTATGTGTGTCATTATACAGTAAATATTAGGTTATCCGGAAAGTTTTGCGGTTTTCTCACATCTACGCGGATACCAATTTGAATTTTGCACTAATACTAAATGAAGATGCCCAAACTTCAGGTTGATAAAAAAGTGGTCTTTTGTTTAAATAATGCATCCATTCATAATCATATGCCATCCTTATTGGCATATGTTTAAGGTGGTTTTATCGCTCAACGCCAACTCAATATAGTGTGATGTTGTCACATAAACGTCACATAATCGCATATGTTCAGTCTATGCGAAATGTTTTTATTGAATTATACTTGTTTTTATTGAATATTAGTCATATGGAGAAATTAACTTTTGACTGGGACTTGCACGATAAAATCACCTTAATATATTTGATTCTATAGTGCCCTAAAGATGGAGAATC